CTTATGTGAGCAATAGGATGTGTAACGTGACAAGAACTCTCAATAAAGCAGATGGATGTTCAAAGGAGGTATGCCTACTCAATGATAATTATTGGATAGCCTACTTCTACAGGGGCACTGTCAAATAGTTAAGGCACACAAACAAACAAAAATGCATGCATGCATATGTATACTTAGATAGATAGATAGATAGATAGATAGATAGATAGATAGATAGATAGATACTTTATTGATCCCAATTTGGGAAATGTTTGCGTTGCAGCAGCATAAAAAACACAAGGCAATAAGAGAAATTAAGACACAAGAAATAAACAGTCCAAAATATTTCAGAAATAGAAACAATTAAAAAAAGTTAAGGTTTAGTTTATAAAATATAAAAGATATATACACATGTGGAAAATATACAAGTTTAAATACAAATACTTATAAAGGGTTGCACATGTGAGCATAAGGTGCCCTGTAATGAAAAAAATATATGCAAGTGTCCTGGTATGTCCTTTCAGTTTGATTTACTTTGTGGTTAGGAAATAGTCCACAGTCCTTCATAGTAAACATTGCTCAACATCATGTCTGAAGAATAAAAGCAGGAGAGACATCCTGAAACGGGGTAGTCACGGACAAGCAGTGTACACAGCCAAGCGAGAAGGTAAAAAATACTACTTATAGTTTTCAATTAATTTAATTAATCAAGTTGGGTAATTTACTATTTATGTGTCATTAACTATTTAATCCTTAGATTTGGTGTCAGAATTTAAAATAACCTGTTTTAGTTGGTAAATATGTCTAAATGTTCTTGCTTAGATCTCGCAGATAATGGTGATTAATTATTTTCATTGATACTAAAACATTGACTTGTTGAAATCTCAGATGGAGAAACTCATACTTTTGATGGTGATCTTTGGAACATGTTGTGCAGCACCCCAAGGTTTGTAAACTTCGACCGACAGCATTGCGGAGAAGTTTGTTTATGGAGAAGCATTTGAATACGATAGCTTTAATACTTTTGTTTCTAAACATTTTAGTTAATGATATTTTGTTTGCTCTCCTTCCCTAAAAATAATTTTGTTTTCCACCTGTGCAGATCTTTCAGGTAAAGTGTTTGTCTTTCCCAAGGAAACCAACACTGATCGTGTAGTACTCATGACACCTAAAACCAGATTCAACTCTGTGACCACCTGTCTCAGGTAACTGGTGTTGTAATCAGAAAGCTTCATTATTTGTGGTTAAGTTTGAAGATTTTCTCAATGCCTACACATCTTTTCAGATATCAATCAGATCTTATTAGGACCTATGGGCTCTTCTCCTTGGCTACACCCACTTTCAACAATGACTTTGTGATCTTCAAGAGTAATGCAGAGAGTGACATCAGGATGCATGCTCGGGATGGGGTCGCAGACTTCACGTCACTGAAACTTGATGCCAACACCTGGCACTCTATGTGTGCTACCTGGCACTCCACCACTGGGTTGGTCCAGCTGTGGGTGGACGGCAAGGCGACCACCAAGAAATTTCTCCAAACTGGGGCCATCACTGGAGCTCCCATCGCCATCCTGGGCCAAGAGCAGGACACCTATGGCAGAGGCTTCGATGCAAAGCAATCATTCATAGGTATGATTACTGACTTCCACATGTGGGACACTGTCATCCCCACCTGTGAGATCAGACGCTATATGGAAGATAAGCACTTCAGCCCAGGCAATGTGTTCAACTGGAAAGCCCTGGACTTTCAAGTCAAAGGGCAGGTTTTGATGGAACTGGCATCTGAAGTTATGTAACATGGTGTATAACTGTGAATAAATCACAAGTAAAACAAATGTTTGATTCTCTCAAGAAGATTAAAGTATCTTCAGGTATGCATGATGGCAGTGCTCTTTTCTCTTTTTTGCATACACTATTTTCAAAAGCAACTATGAACATGTAGTATGATAATGAAGAAAGGGACCAAAACCAAGATTTAGAAAATATGTTTAATCCTTTAAAATCAGACATGAAAACATCACCACCACATAACTGAAACATGGCAGGAGGGACAGGCAGCACATATTGCATGAGAAGGCATTTCTGTGACTCCTATGTACATATACACATTTTTATACACAGTAAAAATATAGTAATTGAAGCATTATAGAACAACCAGCAACGTTGGCTCGCACGCCGTGTGAAACATTCATGTAGAAAAAGCACGGGCGATCAACAACCCAGAATCATGGAGCTAATACATCCATCATAGCACAATCTAAACATGAAGTATAAAATTGTCAAATAGCCCCCCTTCAAAGGCAATACACGCTATAAAGTTTCAGACATCCTTCTGTCAGTATACATACAATCTAAAAGATACAATACACAACTTTTATCATTTCAGCCTGCAGCAATCAACTATGTCAATAAATATAATTCTTAGAGCTGAAAGGTGGCAGAAATTGTGGTTCATATTGCATGAATTCAAATAACCTGTAGTGCCTACAATGAGTACACCGCCCTTTAGGAAGGAGGATCATGTTCGTCTTGTGCCATGGTGTAGAACATAACTGCATCCAGCAATTACACAGTGCCAGTCAAGTCAAAACCCAGGTGTGACAAAACATAATCTGGATTTCCTGTGAGAAACATTTTCGGAGTGTTTTCTTTGTTGGCCTTTTGACTCCAACTGAATACAATTTTAAACTGATCTTTTAGAAATAATCAATATCTTACATTTTTAGCATATGAAACATTGATTTCAAGAACATTATCCTTAATACGTAAAGGTGTTAAATAATGGTGTCTAAGAGCTACCACAATTGTACTTAATTTAACAGGAATGTGGAGGTTGCATCTTGAAATGTCTCAGGCCACAAAGTAATCTAAATCTTTGATAAACAATACATGTATGTCAGATACATCTTATCAGACATTAAAGGTGGGGTAGGTAAGTTTGAGAAACCGGCTCGAGATACACTTTTTGTTATATTCCATGGAATGCTCTTAACATCCCGATAGCAATGAATATCTGAAGTGCTTTGAAAAAAAATCCATTAAAAAATGTCATCTGTGGAAGCCGTATTACTGTAAAAAGCACGACCAATCATTTTAGCCGGCCCGGCTAAAATAACTGGATGGCCTACCTGCCTGTCAGCCTTCCATCTGTTCACAAACTTATCTCGTGCCCTCATTGGGCATGTGCGCGTTCGTGTGTGTTGGAGGAGGGGCTCTGTAAGGAAGTGGCAGATTTTTTCCGGCTGTGTATTTTCAAATTCTAGCACACTCGAGCTGGTTTCTCCAAAATTACCTACCCCACCTTTAAGTTATTTAGCAAAAAAAACAAATATCCAGTTCCAGTAATAACAGATCCTTAAAACACAGGTTAACCCAGTGTTATTACCATGTACAAAATATCAGTCCATGCAGGTAATGAGGAGCGTCTGATTTCATTTTCATGATAACGGTACTGGATCCTGAACATTTGCAGGAACTCCCCCTTCTCCTTTCTTTGGTGCTGGCTTAAACAACAAAAGACTCAGTCCTAAATCTTCAACTGTGCATTGATGAACAAAAAGTAGTTTCTTTTCTTCTCTTCTATATTCACAAATCACATTTCCCCTTCTCCCTCTCTGCTTCATAGACCACATGTGCCTATCAAACACACACAGTAACTCCTTCAGTGAGATGTCTAAGATCTTGAGTGGTGCTACAGTAACTATGTAGCTATTCACATTTCTGTATCAGAAATATCTCTTGGTGGTACAAAGCTCAACAACATAAACACAATATATTAAGTGAAAACAAAGCATATGTTTTTAGATCATCAGCCACATAAAATCTGAGTAAGACTACATATGAAAACAACTAATATTAGTTAAACACATGGTTATTAATATTGGTCCAAGAGTGGATGTGGGCATGGGTCATTTCTGTAACCAGCAGGAATGAAAAATAAGACATTCTAACTTAAAAGGATTAGATTAACCACTCTAATGCGATTACTTATCACATAATAAAAGAGGGATTGTACTAGTGGTTGCAATACAATCTGAAATTATTTTATGCCCTGTTTGTTGGTCCAGACATACAAATGGCAGTTTGACGACCTTAGTTGTAGTGATAAGGCAGGTTTTTCCAACACTAACCTGTAAGAAATGTCCGGGAGGGGACTACATGTAAAGGCACAGACAGATGGAGGACAGTAGCTGGGAATTATTACTCTTCTACTAGCTCAATACCATGACTTCATTTAACAGCAATGCTATTTTCTCTGCAGCAGCCATTCTCTCTGCATGAGCACATATGGTCACTTCAGAGAGGGAGATTTCAGGGTTGTACAAATGTGGTTTGCCATGTTAATAAGACACATTCTATGTAAGAAAAACATTGTAATGTACATTCAACAGTGGCAAGATCTAGCTGGACCTCTGCAGCACCACCGTGGCCTCCAGCAGAATAACTTAGAACAAAACGTGAAACAAAATGACCCTTTAGGTTCAAACCCATCGATCCAAAATCCAAATTCAAACAAATAATGTACATCGACAATCGATTAAAAGAAATGCATTCATGATTACAGAGTCAACAGCAGCACATGTTGATTCAAAAAAGGAGTGTTAATTGCTCAGAGTGCACCTGGTCATGATGATTTATAAAAGGGGGTATGGATGTGCGGTAATGGAACACTTCGGTGTGAACCATGGAAATGTCCACACGGAGACGAAAACGATTTCGAACCGAAGTCTATTTCAAAAAAGTCTTCCGTCCACACGTAATCGGCTCAAGAAACGTGTCCGTCCACACGAAAACGCTGGAGACGCTGTAGTACATATGCCGGGCCTGTCAGTGTACTTCCGCAACAAAATACACCAAAAGCAGCAAATAAGACCCCCCCGAGCATGGGCATAAGGCATAAACAAACAAACAAACAAGGTAGAAAAAGGTCAAATCTCTATCATGGTCAGTAGCGTCTGGAGCACGAACGCAACCCTTTGATCCGCCATTGTTGTTGTTGCTGGCGAAATGCATCAGCAATGACGGGTGACGCGGGGGTGAGCAGGAGAGGTGGGGAGAGGCGGGGCTATGGCATCATCGTTTCAGGAAATGATCGTACAGAGCGTACACACAGAGCCGCAAGCGTTTCGTCTCCAGACTTACCCACTTTGGGAGCCGTTATCAAAGTGTATCGGATTCGGGCTCCGAAGCCGCGGCTCCGATTCGGCTTCGTGTGGACGAACCGTCTAAATGATAGAGAACGTTAGAGAACGTTAGCGGATACAACTGATATCGTCTCCGTGTGGACGGGGCCTTAGACTCTGCAGGAAATATTCACTCCTACAAATGCAGGCTTTGCCCTTCATGTGCTCTTTAGTGTGCATGTTCCCGCTGAAAGGCTGTTGGTGCCATCTCAAAGAACCATGACTGTCTCTTCATGGGAAATGTAACTGCCTTCACCATCCACTGGTGACTGGGGCATGGACTTTTAACAATGTACAACTAATCGTTTCGTTTTTGATGTCCTTGAAGCTTCCTTCATGTTGTGAGCATGACAGAAAATCTTTGTTCAAACAATGTCATTCTGACAGATATTAAAGAGCTGCAATTTCAGGGTCATACACCTTTTTCTTCCAGGTGTAAATCAAAGTCAATTGGGCTTTGGGAGGCTGAAGGCTGGGAAGGGTAAAACCTACCGCTCACCGGCTTCTTCTTGAACTTTCCACCATTGCTTTTTTCATTGTCACAACCTCCACTGCACCTCACTGCTTCATCCAGCGATCCCTGTATACTCGGTACGGTTGATAAGAACTGAGGTGCAGCGGAGGGTCCGTGGAGGATGGATGACTTTCACTCTCTTTAATCTTCTGCCCACCTCACCTCGCTCAGAAACACGTCATCCTCAGATGTCTGTTATCTACTGGGAAGATGAAATGAATGTCAATATCAAGAAATGTACAACTATAACCACGTCAACGATACAATTATAAATAATCTTATATTACCAAGTATGATGCCATTTTTTAGACTTACAAAGCAGATGTTGGTCTCAGGGACGATGTCTGAGAGTGAAATCACATCTTCGTTCCCAGACAGGTTGCCTGAATTATCCATAGCCCCATCGTCCCCAAAACTGGAACAGAGATAAGATTTAATTACGAAACACCTAAGACAATAAATAAACAAAAAACATTTATCATTGCCTTCTGTACCTGTGATGGTCCAGGTCTGTGTTGGCTGATTTGTGCACTTCGACCCCTACAGACCTACGGATAAATGTAAACACAAAATACATTAACAGAGTGTGAAGGTGAGGTGTAAGAAGAATAAAGGTAATAAATTATCTAGGCTTTACCGTAGTGGTGGAGAGGTGGAAGCAAGTCCTGTGCTGCCGAGTGATGAGGTGGACAGGTTGACCTCGTAGTCCGCAGGGTTTTCTCCAAGCGGAGGCGTCCTCGGAACAAGATCTGGTCTGCCGAACTGCACGCCTGTAAACAAAGTATCATTAAGAAACCAAATCTCAACAACAGTTTCTCCAATCAGAGCACAGACATGACAATAATATATCTGCCTCATTCACCAAAATCTTCAAGTTTAAACATAAATGTGTTCTTGTAAAAGGTCTTAAGAAAGGTCTACATCAGATTCATGATGTGTACTTAAACCACATAATTGCTCTTAACTCTGTTCTTATAAAGAAGCCAAAATAAATAGAAAGTTACGACAGTAATTCCGCAATTGAATATTTAAATGTTCAGACACTGAAGGGCCATGAGCACACACAGTAGTTCAAATACATTTGAAAGGATTAAGTTAAGGATGCCTAGTGTGTAGTTTACTGTTTATTTGGGTTATAGCAAAATTAAATCAATCATTTTAATAATAAAAATATATAATGTAATTCAAATATTTTTATATAAAACTGTAGAATTGGACAATAACATTTTTTTTTAATACCCAATCAAAAATAAATATAAGATCAAATCCTTAAAAAGGAAACATTATTCAAACTGTAAGTGTGTTTAAGAAGAGAGCTGTTTGTAAGAGCGGTTGTAGAATAATGTCTAATGTCCACACTGCTCGTGAGGTGTCAGTCTCACCGCTGTCGGCCTCTGAGTCGGTGCTCTTGAAGTGGCTGTGGTAGACCAGTCTGGAGTCGACTGCTGACTGTCCCGTAGCGTTGGAGAGCGGGGGGGGAGCGCCCAGGGTGGGGGCCCTCCGGAGGCCGCCCTGACCCCCACCACGACTCTTCTTAGAAGGTGAAAGTTTTACTGGTAAAGATGGAGGATATAAAAGAGCATATGGTCACTAAGGGAACCAAGACAATTCACCCATGGGATTTCTGAATACATGCATATTTATGTTTACGTGGAATTTTCTTGAACACTGTGTTGCACATGAATTGCTGGAAACGATCTGCATAGAAGCCAGGTCTGTGAACTGAAACTGTGTCCTAAAGTATCAAAAACAAAAACAGAGCCATTTAATACTTTCTGTTCAGAATTATCAATTTATTAACAACTATCTATAAATCTGCCATTTAGTAATCAATTTAAACTAGTGAAACCAATTTTTCTTTGAGCCCAAGATAACATCTATAAAGGGTCTTGTTTTCTCAATTTTCTATTATAAAAACTGTGTCCGCTCCAGATGAGGCTTTGTTTAGCTCTCCAGAACATTCAGTGTGTAAGCTCTTACCCCATCATGGACCAAGGCCTTCCAGGAATGCTCCAACTTCTTAATAAACCTAAATAATAAGACATAATTAAACAATTTACTGGAAGTTAAATAAATGAGTTATGTAGGAATGAAGCTTTCTCATGAATTCAAAGCTTTCAGTGCAGGACTCAGAGCATAGGGATTGTCTCCCAGGCCACAAACAGGACTAATAAGCACTAAACTGCCTGGTTGGTTGGCCCAGCTACCCAAACAAAACACAAAGAGGGGAAACAGACTGTATTCTATGATTAGGATGAGATTACTCAAATGTATGGTTTCAAGGCAAACAGCTGTTTGCTGCTGAACAAACCTGTAGGACTGCAGAATGTCGATGATGCCGATGTAGATCAGCAACCTCTCTCCTTTACTATTACGAGATGGAATACCGCCCATGCTGGAAAGACAGAGTAACAACAACATATCATTGTCATGTCCCAGTCCCAGATAAAATGATAATCAAACATATGTTCACATTGAGCAATAAGACTCACTTGTCCTCTGAATCCAAAGCACCCTTCCCTCGGGCCTCCCCCTGAATGGACTCCATGGCCGTACAGTAAAGACTTTTCTGAATTTGTGGCCGGCGCTGATCTGGGGTCACTGCTCCCTCCGACCCCCCACTGTCACCAGAGTTGCCCCCGCTACGCTCCCGGTCCCGACTGGCCTGGTCCATGTTGTGGATGCCCATCAACAGACTGTAATCCATGATCTTGAAACTCTGCAAGAGCTTCATGACACAGAGAAATACAATTAACATGAGCATCAATCAGACCTGCTGTTTTCATGTTCACACGTGCACTCTCATAGGCAACACTCCACATGCTCAGGACAACCCTCCTGTTATTGGGGTTGGACGTAATCAAATCATCGTTATTATGAAAAAAAAATGCTACTTAATCCTTCTTATATTTGTCTTTTTTAATAACCAGTTTTACTATTACTTATGAATGCGTTTTGTTTTTATACCTTTTTTAATTTTAGTTTTCTGTAAACCGAATTGATAAGATTAGAGGAAAAAAAGGAAAAATAGCAGTCAGAAATTATGTATAAAGTACTGTATAAATTGCTGGAACAAAATAAAAATGTACTTAAACAACAATTTATACAACAAAATGAAGGTGAGTAACATACAGCATCAACAGCGAATCCAACGGCAACAATAAACAATAAACACAGCAGTGTACACACAATGAAAATAACCAATTGAAAGATATGGTCATGGCGAATGAGAAACCATCGTAAACAATAAATGTGTAGTGAGAAGTTGATTTCTACCACTGGAACATACATTTAAGTGGGCATGAGAAGCTAAGTAGCCGTGACCACAAAGCAACCACAGAAACAGATTAACCTCTAATGGAAAGAGTTATTTTGATGAATAAATTATGTGAGCCTTTGTTTTATAACTCGTTTGGCTTTCTCAAGTCGGACAAGCCCACATTATACATCACAAAATGACATCCTGTATTATCTGGAACAATAATGCCACCTGTCTCCTTCAACTTTTAAAAAGGAATCGTCCCTGAAAGTAAACAAAGTATTAGATTGCAATGTCATGCAAGCTTGAGTCATTTCTGCAACACTAGACTGTTGGGGATGTGGTGGAGGGGCTCGACACTAAGAGACAAACAACACTGAATGACTGCCTTGAGAGAAAGTATAGATGTATCTGTAAATAACATTGAGTTGAACATTAAAAAAAAAAATTTTTCTCCTCAAAGTTTTTTTAACATGCTGCTTATTGTGTCTAGAAAATCACAGAAATGTAATCATTCTACTTGTTGGTGCCTCACAGAACTCAAAATATCCACTAAATTATTAACACATATTCAGAAAAGTATATATATACACACACACTTTTATAAAAAATCAGATTCCCAAATTAACTTTGGTTTTAAATCTCAATATTTTTTAAAAGAAAATTAAAACTTGGATTTTTAAGTCATATTAAATGCACGTATTTTGAAGAAAATGCAGTATGGTTTATGTAAGGGCAAGATGGTAATGTATTCAGCTGGCGTATATATCATGAGTTTGATTAGGTACTTTAATAAACTTATATGTAATGTAACAGATGTGTCCTGTACTCCCATGTAGGCTGAAAAGCTTGAGTAAAAATGAATCGACCAATTAAAAACCAGTCTGTGACTCACCAGGCAGTCCCTCTGTATAGTCTTGCACATGGCATTGAAATTGTCGGCTTCCAGCAGCAGCCCATCCGGCAAGTCCTGGATGAAGTCCAGGTCTTTGTGAATGGGAACGGCCTTCTCCCTCTCTTTAGGGGACGCTCGCCTCTTATAGGTGGAGCCCTTCAGGTCGTATTTAAGGTGCATGGGGATGATCCGAGGAAGAAGATTGTTCATCACAACAATACGGATGTTTTTTCCTCCTGCCTGAACGCAATACAGCCCGTAGAACTTGGGTAGCAAGGTGCGCTTGTTTTGGTTAATGTTCTGTAAGGAAAGAGGATAATGAAAAAGAGATATACGACACACTTTATTTTAGAGAGACATCATTAGGGCTTGCTCTCATTTAAGCCTCATACTCTCACAGTTACTGAAATCTCTCATATGGAACAGCTTCCCACTTCCTGTTATATGCATTCGTCAGGCTCACCATGAAGTATCCAGGCAGGAGTTTCTGTAGGAACTCTGCCTCTTTGTGTTGAACAGTCTTGATGATGAACTCGTCATCACTGGAGACATAGAAGAGGGATCCGCTGGCTCCGGGGTTAGACAGCTCGATCAGACCATCATTACACAGAGAATACTACAGAGGAAGAGGAGTCTGCATCAGTGTCCAATTGAAACAAGGCAAACGTTGGCATTTCCAAAAAGCTTATCTAACTAAAACAGTGGTTTTCTTAACCAAATGGGGAGTCACCAAGAGAAAAGTATTTTATAAAACAACAGGGGACTTGATATAAACTACAGTACGATAGACCTGTCACAGGTTTCCAAGGTAAATGTTCAACTACAGGGCCATACATTGATTGTGTGTTAAATTGTTTATATAGAAAAACAGCTAGTAGAAAAATAATTTAGTTGTGACAAAAACATAAAAGCACAAAATATGATTAAAATAAAAGTGACCACAGTGTCCACAAACAAATTATTGTAGAAAAAGTCTGCAGTTTTTGGTTGTCTTGTTTTTGATTGGTTAAAACATTCAGCTTTGAAAAGATATGTTAAGGTTTATTATCTCTCATTGGAATAATTTGTCTTCAACAAGGGGCACATGTTAAAACCACTGAATAAAAGGACAGTGACTAAAGCTTTCAGAAGAGCAGTTCCTGTAAACATGGAAGTGTGTGTTTGTGCAAGTACTGACCAGGTAGTCATCTGGTCGAATGCCAAAGAGTTCCCTGAAATAACGAAAGGCAATTGGCGCATAGGTCTTAAAGCGAAAGTCACTGTAGTGATGAGCAGGAGTCAGGTTACTGCCTTCACTGAAAACACATCAAAGAGAGCCAAAGGACATTAAACACAACTTCACAATTAAACATTCACAACATATTCAGTGAATGATTATCCCCGCCAAAATAATGATATAATAACAATATTATCGCAATATCAATATCAATAGAACATTTTAAATACAAACAAACACTAGTAAAGCTTTTTAATACAAACAAATACTAATAAAGATTTTTAAGATGCTCTCTTTTACAAATGAATTACACTTAAAATATGGGTGCACGGAGTTGGAGAGAGAGTCTGTAACCATAACTTTACAAAAGTGCACAAAATGTAATTTAATTGATGATTTTAAAGTCAATAAACATGATATTACCACATCAATACTCATTATTAACATCCAATTGTTCACTGTTATTGTCAAAGGTTATTCAACAACAACTTCTGTTATCAACCTGGGGAAGAAGATGCTTTCGACCACCACAAAGTCCTGCATGAGAACGTCCCTCTCCGCCTTCTGGCTTAAGCTGCCAACGGTGTGAGTGATGCCCAACTGGATGGCACCTTTCAGGGCAGATGACGTAGTCTAGAGGGGTCAGAGAGGAAAAGATAGTAAACCCCCGAACAAACTAAATGTTCCCCCATGACTCACTCGTCCCTATTCTTGGTACATCTAATGAGAGAAAGTCCCAAACTAATTTTAAACTATGACCACCTTTTACACTTTTCAACTCTGCTACATGTAACAAAAACAGCCCACTGGTGTGACCAACCCCCACCCTGTTCTGACCTTTTTATAGGTGGTCTCTCCGGTGGTGGTCTCCACCCCCCGGTGTCCGATGGTCTTCTTCATACTCTGAGTTGTGCCAGGCAACTGATGAGAGGGGCAGAGAGGAAAACATTAGATGAGTTTGCTGGATCAACATTTACTTGACTTTGAATGCTACATAATAGTGCTACAAATTAGACATTCTTTGACATCCATACCTCTGAAGGGGCCATTTTTCGGATGCCACTGGTCCCTAAGGACACAAAAAGGTTCAATTAGGAGTTACAATGGGACAGACACAAACCCTTGAGAACAAAATGTGAAAACGCAGTAAAACTTTTAGGGGCGGCTAGTCCCCTTGTTTAGACTGCACCTAAAGGGAAAGTTAGGTTGTTTTGTGGGGTTGTATGAAATACTCAGTCCAGTCAGTTTATCATCTAGAGTAAATGGAGGTTTGCACGCCCCCAGTTTGGAGAATCAGAATGACGCACACAAGCAAAGCACTGTACTGCTGTGGACACGGGAAGAAGCAAAACGTTACTTTGCCACCTTTTTATTTTATGCTCTTTTATACCTCTTTACATTACCTCTACAGTCCTTTCCGACAGTGAACTGAAGCAGTTATCTATGCTCTCTTCAAACTCAGACTCCTTACATTTCTTTTAAAGTGCAGAACATTGGAGTTGCTTTTCTACTCAATGGGTCTTTCTTGAAGGTTGCTAACTATCTCTTTATCTAAACTCTTGTAAATGCCAACCACAATGGTCAGCTTAAATGTGATGCGTGAAATAATTGTCAAAGGTTGAGTTGGCACCTTTTTAAAAAGAGTTTGTTAAAGACTGTTTTAAGAAACCCTCTGCTGGTTAATTAGGAGGGCTATTTCCAGCAGTGGCGGACGGCTATGAGGCCAATGATGAGCCCAGGCCTAAATGTGGCCGCAGTCACTAACTGCTGCCCTCGATACCTCCGCTCTATGTTAACTGGAACTACTTCTCCCCTGAGCTGGCTGCTCCAGATTCATCTGCTCCCTGAAGATGTACATCTACAGTCACAGCCTCCTTTCAACAAATCTGCCATTCCTAGCTCTTTCTGCAACAGCCTACTTTGCTTCTGACTTTAACTTTGCATTTCTTATTTTGATTAATGCCGTCGTAACTATTGTTTGTTGAATTGAGCCATTGAGCGTACTGATAAGCATTACCAGAGGATTAGTATCTTTAAGGTACAGTTAACACATATTGAGAGTTATAGACATCAAGAAGCAAAATGTAAGGGTTTGATTACCAAAGATAGGAAATTAAATTAAAAACATGCCCCAAACAAATAAATATATCCTCCTGGGTAAGCATGGTAACAATCACAGCACATAACAGTTTTGTAAGATATGCCCAGTAGAAACAAAGAAATACATGCTTTCCTATGTCCTTACGTAAACTTGCCGTCTGAACCTACTTCTCACCCACTCTGCAAGCACCTCTAGCCTGTAACCAATGGCAACATGTACTTCAATGCTGCAGTGCCACAGGTCAATATATACAGAGGATGTTGGGTAGATTAAACAACCTTTCCTGTGTGTGAAAATTCATCTACGCCCAGCATCAATCCAGGAGATGCACAGTAGGTGGACACTACAACCCAGGAAAGGTGGGTGTGTTAATAATAAGGCAGACTCACTGAATGCCATGCACGTCTTCTCAGTTAACAAGGAGGGACACACTGCAATCCACCGGGAAACAATGAGCATCATTCTGCACACATTCCCAACTCTCATTATGTAACACAACAACACACTATATCTTCATCACTACTCGTGCAGTTTCTGATCACACACACCCATGCCGCGAGTACCTCGCTGAAATGCTCTCCTCCAGAACTGAGTCCTAATATCTGTGGAGCAGGACAGAGGCAGCCTTAAAAGCTTAACCCAGAAAAGGAGCTGCACTGAACAACACATGTACTGACTGTGTTTAGGTACGATGAAATGTACCATGTAAAGCTGGAATGATTACTCAATTTAATACGAATATTAGTGCCCGAAACCTTCTGGTTTTATTTGTCTTCAATTTGATAAGTAATATCTTTGGGTATTGGACTGATAGTTGGAAAATGATCTGGAAAATCATAATGAGTATTTTAATTATTTTCCACCCATCTTATACACAGAATAGCTTATTGATTAATTCATTTAGAATAATTAGCATGTATTAGGAACATAACCATCAACTACTACTTTATCACATTGCAATGTTTTCAAGAGTTAATATGAAACTGGCCCTGGTAATAACACACACTGCAGTAATCAATAAGTAGATCAATAGAAAAATAACAACCAACTCTTTTATAACCAATTCATTGTAAAAGTACCTTTACATGTACAAAAAAGTACTGTTTTCAGCCTCTAAAATATGAACATGCCCTATATTTTCCTGCATTACCTTATATTTAACAGAATGGTCTTTATATAAACCAGTTGGCCTTTTTCGAAACTGTGATGGACATTTAACACATGTTTTGTTTTGTTTTTTGATATACCAAAGAAACAATTAAACTAGATTATAATCATTACATTAATGAAAATACATTTTAGTTGCAGTCAGACACTGATAAAAACCGACACTGAGCATAAGATTCAGGGTAGTAATTACCCACCCCAACTCAACCCAATTACTTAAGAATGACTTTAGCTCTTCAGTTACAGGCCTTACGACAATAGGCAAACCATCTGTTCCTCTCTGTATACTAAACAACTCCCTGCCAGCCTTGTTCACATGTAGCCCGCAGCATACACAAAGCAATAATATGGGACACGCACAGTTTCCTAACATAATTGTCTTCTTATCAAAGCTACATGAATCTACAGGATCTTGCCCTGATGAGGAAACAAGGCAAATTAAGGCTCCTACACTGGATATTACATTATCTTACTGTCACTCAAATGTCTGCGAGTGTGTATTTCACAGATTGCTGTGTCTTGTATTTGTAAATGTCTATGCTCTCAGCCATGTGGGAGCCACAAGAGTAATTTGAAGGCACTATTTTTATTCACTGATTCAGACTGGGTGGTTACCACAGCAAAAGCAACTCCTCTCTAGACAGGAAAGCTAATAAGTGACACACTAAACTAAATGGATTAGCAAGATGCAACCTCCCCATCATCTGTCCTGTCTAGAGAATAAGACCCATCTGTTTCTTTGTGGTCACTGAAAAAGACCAATTCATGAGCGATTCATCATACAAAAATCTGAAATCAAGAGAGATGGACAAACATTTCATACACTTAACAGGGACATGAGACTTAATTAAGCCTGTTCATTATCTGGGTTAGCATGACAAACTTGTAGGAAATCAATAAGATCAATATTTTTTTCTATAATATATCACTGTGAATCTTTGGACACTAACGCTAACTGACAGGGGGCTAGTGTTGAGTGAACTAAATGACAAATTGATCTGTTGCTACTCTGCTCCTGTAGTAAACATCTATATTTCTGTTGCTGAAGTATTTTTGGCCTTTTATAGAACATTTAAATGTATCCAGAAATGTTATATTGTGTATTATTTGTGATAAATGTATTTTCTACTGTAGATATGTTAATATTTGCTGTTTATTTTATCATGTTTGTAGTTTAATCCACCTTTTGAATATTTGTATATTTGAATGCCTGAATATACTGCTGCTATAACAAAAGGATTTCCCAATTTGGGATCAATTATCTGTATACCACAGACCCGGACAGACAGAGGAAAGGGAGGGGTGTAACGGGCTATAACAGGGTAGTTTCCCATGGATGGACAGACCCTATTCAAACAGCAGCTTCTCATATATTTACAAAATACATTTAATAAACCTTGTAATTATCCTCCTGCTTCCAGCTAACTCATTAGCATTCAAACAGCGTTAACAAATCACCGGCTTGATAACAAAACAGACCACTTGAGCCAACGCTTGAGCCAACGTGGTCCAGGGAATTATTTTGTAATGCATCCTAATAGACAATTCTATATAAATACTGTCCGCTCGCTGACTAAAGCTTATTAGCACCAGACTGGGGTTTATCTACAAGGCAGTTTAACAGGCTACACATTGCTTGTTTCATTTGTTAGGTTGAGAGCCTCGATGCTAACTGGCTAAGTGGCTAACCGGGACGTGAGAAAGCCACAGTCCCCGAGTCCCACGGTTAATATCGCTATAAAATGACACACGGTTATGTTTTTATGTTTGTTTGAAGACGACAAAAGGAGGAGTATTTATACACTAGATACCTGTCGGGGCTGTTGATCCCGAGTCTGCCGTCCCAGCAGTCGCCATTACGGTCTGCCTGTTCTCATCCCAGACTGTAGAGCCGACAGAGGGCTCTGATGCTCGGCTCGCAGCTGCGCCACAGCGCCGCCAGCAGACCGAAGAGGAACCGCTTCACTTTCACTTTTACTCTACTTCATATTCATGTACCTCAAGTTTAAAAGTTTAGAATAACCTTGGTGTTCACTAACTAAGTACATTTACTCTCAAAGGTGGGGTAGGTAAGTTTGAGAAACCGGCTTGAGATACACTTTTTGTTATATTCCATGGAATGCTCTTAACATCCCGATAGCAATGAATATCTTAAAGGTGGGGTAGGTAAGTTTGAGAAACCGGCTCGAGATCGCTAGAATTTGAAAATACACAACCGGAGAAAATCTGCCACTTCCTTATAGAGCCCCTCCTCCAACACACACGAACGCGCACAAGACCAATGAGGGCACGAGATAAGTTTGTGCACAGATGGAAGGCTGACAGGCAGGTAGGCCATCCAGTTACTTTAGCCGGGCCGGCTAAAATGATTGGTCGTACTTTTTACAGTATTACGGCTTCCACAGATGACCTTTTTTTATGGAATTTTTGGCAAAGCACTTAAGATATTCATTGCTATGGGGATGTTAAGAGCATTCCATGGATTATAACAAAAAGTGTATCTCGAGCCGGTTGAGAAACCGGCTCGAGATACACTTTTTGTTATCTTTACTTTTTGTAATCCATAAATAAATGTAGTATTTCCATTTATGCTACTTTATACTTCTATTCCACTACAATTCAGAGGTAAATATTGTACTTGTACTCCACTACATTTATGCAGTACCTTTAGTTACTTTGCAATTCGAGATAAATGTTAAACAATAGGATTAACACTTAAAAAATACTTTAGACATAGGCTACCTGGTTTAAATTCACAATTAGTTAAAACAATATCTACCTAGCTTGATCAATACCTCAATAATTATCACCAAAAAATATTCTGAAATGGGCCAATCTTCATAATGAGTACTTTTACTCTTGGTACTTTAGGTATATTTAGTATAATTCAACTACTGAGAGTTTATCAGACATAGTTTCCAAATTAACTAAATATGTGCAATGTTGTTGAATTATTTTTACATTCATAAAGAGTTGATTTTGTGTTTATCATGCCTCAACACCTTCTTTGTGTCACATGTTATTTAATGTTTGTTTCTTTATATCTTAAGTCTTTGCAAGTTCTTCTCTTATGTTTGTGTGTGTCATTAGTGACAAAGTAAAATATAATTGAACTAAATATTACTAGATTACTTTTACAGGGGTTTGTAACAGGTCAACAGCAGTTCAAACTATTAAATTGACAAGTTTTGTCATTACTGCCAATTTAAAGTGGACCTATCATGCTATATTTGAAACATATATTGTAGGGCCATACCTATATAAAACATGTCTGTGAAGTTTTTTTTTCAAAATACCAAACAGATCATGCATTTTAGCCATGCCTCATTTCGCTCTATTTGCTCTTTTCCAGCCCTGTTTTTGCAAGGGCTGATTCTGCTTTTGTGGCAGACTACAGCGCCACTTACAGGCCTGGCATATGTACTACAGCGTCTCCAGCGCTTTCGAGCGGTCTCTCATTCCCCTGATAGGTGGAGAGTTGCCCATATAGGCGGAGCACCCCTTTTCTGACGTCAGAACAATTTCAAATAATAATCAGCTCCGTTGCAGCCCCGTTTTTAGAGATTTGGGTATGGAGGAAAAGAGAGAGGGTTGTGTTTTCTGACACTTGGTGAGTTCCCTGACACACCGGGGACACATATTCATGTATAAAAGACGTACAAAAGTGCATTTTGCATGATAGGTCCCCTTTAAATCTAGTGTAGCCAGGCAGACATTTACAAGTAAGGCAAGACGAAGGACTCACACAACCTAACCTTGCATGTAAGAAGACAGTAGACCACACAAATGGTACATTTCAATACGTTTTTATTAGAACTGTTGTAGATATGATCTCTACACACAAAACTATATAAAAGGATGAGAACTGATTTTGCAGTTCCAAATCAATCAATAAAATGCATCCATAATCAAATATGTAAAGCGTAGCCCTATAGAAAATAGTGGTACAGTAAAACAAGAATTAAACACTGTTGTATGTTTCTTTTTAAATGTATTCTTGTGATAACAAAGCTTCTAATTTGATCCCAGATAAAAAGATGAAAATAAAACTGGCAGTTAATGAAGCTAGAATGTGGTCCACATTCCCTTACAGACCTCAAATATTTCCTGTTTATGATCAGAGGTCATCTCTGCTGCTAGCTTGATGTTTCCCTGAATGGCCCAGTGCCATAGGATCAGCAGCCAAAGGTCATCAGAGTATATAGGGGACAGGGCACTTTTTCTTTTCACTGGAGGCTTTGGTTGCTTTGGTGATGGCATTCACAAGAATTTTGGTGATACACTGCGGCTGCTCGTGTGAAGACATGCGGCAACAGTGACGGAGAGATGGAGGATATACCCGACATTGCTTTGATACTTCGACGAGCTGTTTTGATGGAGAGTACAAGATCAGACAAATGAGAAAAAGCCAATTGAAAATCTGACATTTTGTTTAATAGCTCCTAAACTTTTGTTTTCAAATGTTTCATTTACATTTTCACTGCTCAGGCTTTGTCATCAGATATTTTTGTTTTGCTAGATTTTGTACTGACACCCTTCCTTGTTTGACTCACCTCCTGCACAAAACAAAGGGCCCTCTCTTCTTCAGACAGGGGGCAGCATTGTTTCACAAAGCTCTTGAGAGGAAAACCAACAGGGAACCTAAAACACAATGAAGCTATTACTTTGTTTCTGTACATAATGCAGACACACCAAAACATACTGTAGATAGGTGGTATTAGCACATTTCAACATCAAATATATTTTAGCATATGAGGCTGCTTGGTACAAATGTAGTTTCTTTGACAAGAAATGACCAAAAGCATCAAAAGAAACTGAAAGAAAGGAACTTGCCAAAAAAGAAAAGCACCATGAAAGAGGATGATAAAGAAGACAAAGATAATAACAGATCCAAGGCCAGATGTAGGAAGTATATTCTTACTTCTTCTTGATGATCTGGTGAGTGTCACAGATGTTGTGAAGGGAGAGCTCTTTAGCAGCGGAGGTCAGATTATAATATGGGTCAGGAGAAAGGTTTTTGAAACAGGTGTATCGGCTATCTTCCACGTTGTCAAAACAACACTCGAAATCCACTGGTTCACCGTTCTTGTTCAAGCAAAACTTGCTAAGCTCCTCACGCCACTTAAACACAAATAGAGAAAGGTCATGAGAAGGCAGGAACATTACTAAATTAAGGAAAATATTTATGTTTGTAGGTTTTTTGGTTTACCTTCTGGTCAGCACACTCGAGCACACCCTGCTTCTTTTTGCAGCACTGTTTGAATCCCTTCTCTACACGATTAATGGTCTTTGCCTGACGGGACATCAATTCATAGCCTGACAATCGAAGGCAATTGACTTTGAAGAGGGGGCGTAGCTTCTGGTCGCGACACAGTGATTCAATGTTGTCAGCAAAGGGTCGTCCGGGAGGAAAGTTGAAGTCTTTTTTAGGAGATTGTATAACATTTGTCTGTCCTCTGGGTGCTCTGGGAACGTACGGACTCTGTAGTTTCCTGTAAAGTATGAGGCACATGGTTAGAGTGAAACCTGACCTCCTTCTACCTCTAGGATCTATTTATCCAAACTAAGTGTGTTTTGCAATGTAACAATTAATTTGTATTGAAATTCCATAAAAAGACTCAAACAAATGTGTTAGGCTGCTTTCAGAGTGAGTTAAGCCTTGTAGTAAAATAGCCGCCCTGTCATTCATAAGAATGGGACCAGTCCACTGATGCAGCGTGGGTTTTATACAGATGGCTCAGGCTAAATAGACAGAGGGTTGTTCAGCAAAAACAATAAAACCTAGCTCAACTGCTAGATCACAATGAAGCATTCTCGGACAAAGCCCTGCATTGGTCAAGGAATTATACCGGCAAGTGTACAATGTAAAATGATTGCCGTAAACATAACTTTCCAGAGCAGTAAAATCCTTAGTAGGCCTATTATAAAACAATTTGATGTGTTTTGGCGTCTGAAAAGCCTATTTAATAAAAGTTATTTAAATAGTTTAATAGACAGAAATGTGTCCAAATGTGTGTCTTTTCATGGGATATACATTATTTAAAAAATATTGAGACATTTTTTCACAACATTGTAAAAGCTGAAACTGATTTCTGATTTGATCCTATGCATAGGAGCATCAATTATTTTTAAGAAGGTTTAACTTGTTAACATTCAAAATCAACTGTTTACTGGTGGTTATTTTATCAAATTCAATTCATACCACGGACAATCCGTGGGGGTAAAGGCAAAGGTTTCAGTGGAGGGAATCTGTGGCACCGGCAGCTCCTGTGTCGCCGTGTAGTTTGGGTTCGGAGCTTCGTTATGGAAGCAGTTTAGCCTGTCGCTGCCCCTCCGCTTGCAGCATTCAGATTGAATATCCTTTACGCTTGAGTCCTCCTCACAGTAGGAATTGATTGCGAACTCCCACTGTAGTTGGAACAAAACCACATGTATGTATGCATTCGTCTTTTAATAGGGACATGAAGTCTGCATGCGACTATTTTAAGTGAATGGGCCAGCTGCAATATATAGAGTATCTTTTAAGACACAATTACACAAATCTCAAAAACAAATATTAGGCGAAAAGATTGAAAAAAGGCTTTTTTCACTAAAGAATTGGAGGCAGGTTTGTTGCTTGGCCTTCAGACCGATCCTCTGGTTCTCATGCCAAGGCCTGTCTGTTATGTCAGGCTGGGCTGCATATAATGGGCTTATCAACTGAAAACACCCAAGGCCTTTATCTTTGTTCCAAAAAGCAAGTACCATCATCTCAGCAATGTGAAGAATGTGTTGTGCCCTTTTTATGTCCAGGATAGAACAAAAACACACACAAAAATGTGTTTGGAGTACTATACGCTATAGAAATAATAAAACAAAGCTTCAGGAACTAAGCTAACATAAATATAAAGTTACTGAAGTTGGCAATTAAGATCATATTTATGAGAGCATTCCTCCACATAAAGTATTAAGTGGATAACATTCAAATGATCTTGTTTTTTAATTATAAATCAACACGAATTGGGATCAAGCTTCGGTTGATCCCAATATCTTGAGTCTAATGACAAGATAATGCAAAAACATTATCAACAAGGTGAAGTACAAAAATTGTAGCACAATTAA